TATATATATATATATATATATATATATATATATATATATATATATATATATATATATATATATATATATATATATATATATATATATATATATATATATATATATATATATATATATACATATATATATATATATATATATATATATATATAATATGTATATACAAATATAATATATATATACAAATAGTATTGCGTACTAAAGTAAGCAATCTGATGTCATACTGAAACTTGCGTACTAAAGTAAGCAATCTGACTTTTTGTCTAAAATTGATTCTGAAATTGCGTACTAAAGTAAGCAATCTGATGTCATACTTTACCGTTTTTTAAAAAAAACGGTAAAGCTTAAGGTAAGCAGAAAAAGTGAGCAAATGCTTATCAAAACACACTTTAGTAAGTGATATATATATATATATATATATATATATATATATATATATATATATATATATATATATATATATATATATATATATATATTTATATATATATATATATATATATATATATATATATATATATATATATATATATATATATATGTATATATATATATATATATATATATATATATATATATATATATATATATATAAATATATATATATATATATATATATATATATATATATATATATATATATATATATATATATATATATATATATATATATATATATATATATATATATATCTTCTATATAATATTGCCAAACTTAATAGTAGTGTCCCTTGGAGCGTATTTGACACGAAACCCTTGGCAGCCATTGCAACCGAGGTATTGGCAAGAAAGAGTCGCAGCACTATAAGAATACGTGAACGAATATCTAACGTACGTAAACTTTAAACTAAGTAAGGTTAAAGCAAATGTTAAAACATACTGAAACATTTATTATGTTTTACAGTTTGATTTTTACTTGAAAATTACATTGTGTCAACCTCTCCTTAATTTTGATCTAACAATTTTTTACTTAAAAAAATTACTACATTATTATAAAATCTACACATAATGATATGCCGGTGTAGCTCGAGTGGATAAGGCGGCGAACTTCTGAACAAGGAGCTAGAGGTTCGACTCCTACCAATGGCGGCTATTTTTTTTAATTTTTTTAATTATTTTAAAATACAAAATACTTTCGAAGTTTTATAAAGATTATATACAAATATATGTAACGATGTTATGCACTCACAAAAGAAAAGATTTTAAGAAAGCTAAAACTTCATAAAACATTTAAAAAAAAAAAAAAACATCACTAGGAGAAAAAATATGTTGCGTATCTATGATAATTGAGACACTTATGTTATTAATGTGCTCATGTAATTAGTCCTAATAAGCTGCGGATGGTCTGAAAAAAAAGTTGTCTGAAACTTAATAAAGAAAAAACTTAACAAGACAGCCCTGCTACTTCAGAAGATGCTGCTGTGGAGGCAAAAAAAAAAAAAAAAGCCTGTAGCTAGATAAAACTTTAAAACTTTCTTTTGGCAATTAAAAGTTTATTTTGCTACATTAACTTTTTTACTATAAATATATACAGCAACTGTTTTTCAAAACGCCTTAATATGCTTATGAATTAAAAAAAAAAACGCAATTAAAAATAAAATTGTTTGGAAAAACTCTTCGTAAAACGTTTTTTGAAACAAGTAACTTTTATTTAGTTTTTTTTTTTCTTTTGTGCAACTTTCTTTTCAATAAATTTCTTTACCTTTCAGAATATAACCATTTTTAACAATGCTATAGAAAAAATATCAGTAAATTGATTAGTAGTATTTCAATTATATTAATTAGATTAAATTATATATATTAAATTATATATTATATATATATTAAATTAAATAGATAAATAAATTGATATACAGTTAATACATGTGTATTTTTTTTTTTGAAAAAACTGTGGTTATTGTTGTTAAGGGTGATTAATATGCAAATAAATTAAAAGCTAATCAGGGTTTTGAATAAATTATAAACTAATCAGGGAAGTTTTATTTGTAAACCTAATAAATAGGAAGATAACATATAATTCAGGTAGACATTGTTTTCACTTTTTCGCCAAACTTTGATATATTTGATATTAAAAAATATGACCTTTCCAATAATTACAGATGGTAGTGTATTAACCTTTTTTTTTGGAACCACAATCCGTTATGATTTGTTTTTTAACAATGTGAACGAAAGTCTATTCAATTATCTAAATATGTAAACTTTAAGTTCTTTAATTATCAATCAGTATTATTATGAAGTAGATGACATCAAATTCTACCGATTTATTTTTACTTAAAAATTTCATTGCGACAATATCTCTTTATTTTAAAGCATTAAATGTTGTTTTTTAAAGTTTAATAAGTTTTCTGTTTATTAAATAGTGTAAAAAGATGATATAGCATTCCAAAGCGATTGAAGTGCTTCGCTTGGGTTCAAAACCTTTTGATACACAATTTTTTTTTTAAATCTTATCCTGTTTTCTAGAAAACAAAGAAAAACAAGTTTAAATGCATATAGATGTTATACGCATTACATAAAAATAAAGATATAATATACTATAACAAACCAAACGGAGAGAATTTTTTAAAACGTTTTTTAAAATTTCTAAAAACATAAAAACGCTGTACTTGATTCACGTGTGAATAAAACGATGATTTATTTTAGCCGCTTTTAATTGAAATCAACCAAGATATGCTGCCCTCCCCTAACCCCGTGAATCAAGCACACCACCCTAAAATTTAACTAAAGTTAAAAAATATATAAATTAATTTTTAGAACTTTAAGAGGGTGGACCCAAAACTCAGTTTTTGTTTATTCCGCTATTTTGATTGATGTTTTTGTAAAGAAGTAAACCTTAAAAACACATAGAAGCTTTAAGGTGTTTAAGCTATAATTTTATAAAACGTGTTTAAGCTAAAATAGACTTTTAAGTCTTTTAACTACTAAACTTTCACGTAAAATGAAACTTTTTGTCATTTACTGAATGTGTTAAATTATAAAACTGTGCAACAGTTTTATAATTTAAGACAAATCTTATATGTTTAATTGAAAAAGTGAATATTTTAAAAATTAATTATGTCTATATATATATTAGATGTTCAAGAGATCAGAGCCGAAGAGCTCTTGCCAAGTAAGCTAACTTTGTATGAGAAGGATATGTTACAAAGATATATATTTCACCAATTTCAGCAATTTGTTAATTATAACTTTTTTTTAATGTTTAGCGGAAGTAATGGACAAGCTAAGTCAGGAATTTTTTTGTTGTTGTTGTTTTTTTTTTGTGTGTGCAAATATAGTTATGCTTTTTTAGTTTTTTTAAAGTTATTTAGCAACTGACTTTTGTCAGTTGTGACAGTTTGTCAGTCAGCAAGTGACTTTTGTAACTTTCAAATTTATTTTATTTAGAAAAATTAGAAGATTCAGTTGAGAATCTATGTAAGCAATTTGTTATTGTTGTTGTCATGCTTTTTTATTTTTTTTATTACATATTTATTTAACATAAAGTTATTCTATATATGGCAAGTTAGTTTATTTTAATGTTTATAAGTTTTTCATTTTATTTAGAAAAAGTAGAACATTCAATGGGTAAACAGAATTTGATTATATTTCATTTGTGTATTATAGATAAAGATATAGCATTTTACTTTCAAAAAAAAAAAGGTCTACTCTTTGGTCTTTTAGCTTTTTTGATACAATTTTTAGCATTTTTTTTATAGGGCTTATACTTCAACAGCTAAGTAAATTACTATAATTTTCTTATTTATTTTAATTTTTTCTTTTTTTTTTGGAACTTTTTTCTTTTTTTTTTTTTTTGGTTTGTTTTGCTTCGTATATTATATGTATATTATAATATTCTGCATGTTAGTTTCTTTCTTAATGTTAATGAGTTTTTTTTTATTCTATTTAGAAAAATTAGAAAATTCAATTGGTAAGCAAAGTTCACTTATGTTTAATTTTGTTTAATTTTATTACACTTTTTTTGATGTTTGTGTGCGGTTTTATCACTTAAAATAAACTGTTTAATTGATTAGTATATGTTAGTTTATGTAAATATATTTTTTACATCCACTATAGCGTCATCTGCAGTACCATCTGGTAATGTGTTTTGCATTCTTATGCAGTTTTAAGAGTGTTATGTGTGTTAAAACTTAAAGATAGCATATCTTAATTTACAGATTACTTTATTTTTTTTTTTGTCTCTACATTAACACCTCAAGCAATAATATCAGGTAATCTGTTTAGCATACTTATGCAGTTTTATGGGTTTTATGTGTATTAAAACTTAAATTTTTTTTTTTTCATGTTTTCATGCAATTACATAAATGTTTAACACATGTTACTTTATACACTTTTTTTTTTACTTTTACAATAGCATCAATATCATCTGCAGTGCCATCAGGTAATGTGTTTTGCATACTTATGCAGTTTTATGAGTGTTATGTGTATTAAAACTTAAACATTACTTTTTTCATGTTTGTTATCAATTACATAAATGTACAACATATGTTACTTTATACATTTTTTTTTACCTTTACAATAGCATCAATATCATCTGCAGTACCATCAGGTATTATGTTTTGCATACTTATGCAGTTTTATGAGTGTTATGTGTATTAAAACTTAAAGATTGCATATCTTATTTTGCACATCACTTTATTTTTTTTTGTCTCTACATTAACACCTCAAGCAATAATATCAGGTAATCTGTTTAGCATACTTATGCAGTTTTATGGGTTTTATGTGTAATAAAACTTAAACATTACTTTTTTCATGTTTGTTATCAATTACATAAATGTATAACATATGTTACTTTATACACTTTTTTTTTTTACTTTCACAATAGCATCAATATCATCTGCAGTACCATCAGGTAATATGTTTTGCATACTTATGCAGTTTTATGAGTGTTATGTGTATTGGAACTTAAACAATACTTTTTTCGTGTTTGTATGCAATTACATAACTGTTTAATATGTGTTTGTTTATCTACTTTTTTATTTATTTCCGTAATAGCAACAGTATCAACTGCAGTACCACCAGGTAATGTGTTTTCCATACTTATGCAGTTTTTCCATACTTATGCAGTGTTATGTGTATTGAAACCTAAACATTACTTTTTTCATGTTTGTATGCAATTACATAACTGTTTAATATATGTGTTAGTTCATATTTTTTATTTATTTCTATAATAGCAACAATATCTGCAGGACCATCAGGTAATCTGTTTTGCATGCTTATGCAGTTTTATGGGTGTTATGTGTATTTGTGTAGGTATATATGAAATTTAATTTATCCTTATTTTTACATTACTTTTTTTTTTATTTTTTTTTTGTCATAACCTTTTTTTTTTAAAGTCTAAATAGTTTTAAATAATATTTTTATTGGTTGTTTTGTGCAGTATTGTATTCAAATTTATTTCTTTTTTTGTTTTTGTTTTTTAGCAGCGCATCAAGATTTCCTGCGATATTGCTCCCAGCACCCAGGTCCGATATCTCAAAGAGCTTTCTACCGGTGGTGTCAATATAGGGGAGATGATCCCTCCTTTAGATGGAGGAGACAAGCCCCATATGACACCACTGGTAGAAGCGGTGCTACTAATTAGTGGTGTTGCTAGCCAAGCGGTGTTACTAATTAGTGGTGTTACTTGGCACTTAATGCCAAGCGGTGTTACTAAATTGTGGTGTTACTTGGCAGCGTTTAGTGCCAAGCGGTGTTACAAGTGTTGAGCTAGGTTGTGTTGTCTAGCTTTTTTAATTATTCTGGAAACACATAATCTGAATATTTTGTGTTATGTGCAAATGTGTTATGTAAAAATAATTTATGCTATGTGTATTCAGTAGCACAGGCAGGGTCTTTTGATGCTTTATATAGCACTTTCAACCAAACTTAAGTGTATTCACGTTTATAGAATTAAAATACTTTGCAAAAAATTGATGCTGTTAAAGCTTAGGAACAAATGTTTAAAAAAAGTGTTTTTCCTAACCTGAATTTTTTTAGACATAACAAAGTTAAACTCTTCAACAGCTTCTAAATATATATCTGAAACAACAAAAATCCCACCTACACTACTGGTGTTATTGTTTGTCATCCTGTAATGTTGTTGTGATGTTTTGTGTTGATAGACAGCTTGGCTTACCTTCACGTTGGTGTCTATCGTTAAAAATGATTATTGGGTAGCTTCATTACTGAAACTTACTCCTAATCATTCACTAAAAGCCAAGAAATTTTTTAAGAAAAAATGCCGAATTTTTTTGTGTCAATAAAAATTTTTATCTTGAGCAATGCTGATAAAACTGATTTTTTTTAAAAAAAAGATTATTTCCAGCCTTCTAACCAAATATTAGAGACTTTTCCAAAAGCACTCTCACAAAGTAAGTGTTTAATATTTCTTTAATATTACTAAATTTCGTTTCGTATTTTTTATTTTTCAAATGAATTAACATAAAATAAATAAATGTGCATTCAGTGTTATCAATAATGATTTTATTTCGTTTTTAGATAATGCTTTTATAATCAATTTAAAAGTCTTTCAAATCGTTAATCATTTTCTAAAGGCGAAGAAGAAGAATCATCAATCTTCATACCATTTAATAAAGCTATTTTAATAAAACGCAATACAAATTGTTGTAAATTAGTATTTCAATAATTTTCACGTTGTTACCTTATTTTGCAGTTTCCTATCACTTTGTATTGAATTAAATAAATCCAATATTACAGTTCCTTTTATCAAGTACTTCACATTTTCTGTTTTTGTTTTATGCAGAAAAACAGATCAAGTTAATTTATTTAACTTGCCTAGCTACTTATTTTACACGCCTAGCCACAGTGAGTGTGCATAAATCAACAGAGGATTTGGGTTTGGGCAGGTTGTCTTGAACTAAATGGTTTACCTTCTTCATGTTAAGCTCTAAATATAAATATACGGAAAAGGTGCATATGTGATTTTTTTTTTTTTTTTTTTTCTAGCACATAATCTATTGATCACTAAAAAATATTAGAGGGAGAAATAGAGATAAGGTTAATGTGGAATAGAGTTTGTCCTTTTAGGTGAAAAACTATTTTATAATCTATCTATCTTCTATATAATAATGCCGAACTTAAAAGTGTTAGTAGAAAGAGTCGCAACACTTTTTTTATAAGAAAACGTGTATACAAATATCTAACGTACGTAATTAAGTAATGATGAAACATACTGAAACATTTTTCAAGTTTTATAGTTTGACTTTGACTTAAAAATTGCATTGCGTCAACCTCTTCTTAATTTTTGATCTACAGCAATTCCGTTTAAAACAATTTTTATATATTTTTAAAATTTCGATATTTGATGTGTCAGCATGGCCGAATGGTTAGCGAGCTAAGCTTCTGAACGTAATAGTCGTGGTTCAAATTTACCACCAGCGACTTTTTTCTTAGAATCTTTAAATTACAAAATATTTGTAAAGTTAAACAAGTTAAATGTTATACACTTAAACCGTTTTTTCTTTTTAAATTTTATAAATTTTTTGGATTTCTAAAAACACCAATAAACGGGGCGAAAATTTGTTGCGTGCGTGTCATGATTTTGATACTGTTCTCACATAATTGGTCCTAATAAGCTACGGATAGTCTTAAAAAAAAAGATCCTAAAACCTAATAAGGAAAAAAATTTGATAAAACCGTCCCGCTACTCCACATGGTATTGCAGTGGAGGCAGAGGAAAAAAAGCAATTAAAAGGTTTTTCGCTATATTTAATTTTTTGCTATAAATATAGCCAGATTAAAAAAATTAAAAAAAATGTATGGAGATTTTTTAGGCGCGGATTTGAAGCATTGCACAGCGACTCTGATGACTGCGCACTTAACTTGTGAGCTATCAAAGTTTCGCATGTAGTTAGGTGCTTCAACATTTTTTTAAAAATGTAAAATGAAAACAAAATAAATACCATAAGTAAGAGCTAAATAATAACGTTTAAAAATTACCAAACCTTTTATTATATTATTATTAGTTTTTCAACTTTTAAACCACAAAATTTATAATTTATTTTTTTGCATGACTTTTGACGCTTTAAGTGACTAACGTTTTAAAGAATTGCATTACCGTTTCCGTCTAATACAAAGGTAACTATAAAAGACCGTTATTATTCAAAACTAAGCATATAATAACAATAAATATAGTAAATAGTAACTATTGAAAATGGCTAGGACGCGACCATAAACCATGGTCCATGGCTGCAGTAGTGTAGCGACAAAAAATTGGCCCCCCACCCCCGCAAAAATTTAATCCGGGCCCCTAAATTACTTCTTTTCTATTCCTTTCTCCCACCCCCCACCACCTTGCCTTTACCTTCCTTCTAGACAAATAAGTTATACATGAAAATAAAAAAACGGTAATCTAAAACACAAACTAATGATATACGCATGTTATTTATTGTACTGACACTTTTTTTTAAATTTTTTCTTTGTTGCCTTGAGCCCCTAATAACTCTGGGCCTCCTCGCGGCTGCGGGCCCTGCGGGCCCTTTGCTACGCTACTGCATAGCTGGTCTAAAAGTAGGAAGTAGTTTAGTTCAGAATTTTTAAAAAAAAAAATAAATAAACGGGGTTTAATAAGCTATATACGTATGCGGAAAAAGTGCGTATGTTAAAGTTTTTTTTTGCTCTCAAAGCAAATTTTTTTAATGAATTTTTTTCCACCGTTTACTAAAAAATATTGAAGTAAATAAGGAACAAGTAAAGAAATGATTAGCGTGGAATAGATAAATATAGAAGTAGAAGAAAAGACCTGTATTTACCGGTACGGACAGCTAGATTAAGAAAATAAGGGAAAAAGTTTGTGTAGAATAGACTTACAAAGACCCGTATTTTTACGGGTCAATTCAGCTAGTATATATATATATATATATACAGTGCTTGAAGAAGAGAAAAAAAGGAAACAGGTTAGTATTCGGTAAATTAGAAATACAATCCCGCTTAATAATTGTTATATATATATATATATATATATATATATATATATATATATATATATATATATATATATATATATATATATATATACATATATATATATATATATATATATATATATACTACTTAGTATATATATATATATATATATATATATATATATATACTACTTCTTCTTCACACTATTTTATATTAGGTTTTTTGCATCCTTGGGTTTTTATCTCATTTAAGAGAAGCAACACATAATATTGAAAGTCTAAACAAATTTACATTAACTAAGGTTTACATTGTCTTAACTAAACTACGTAAATAAATTTAAAATACATAAATTTAACAATTTAACAACTTTAGTGGTCTGACCCTAAATCAGAGAAAAACTAATTGACAGTAAAATACCTAAGAGTGGCAATGCTATATTATATATATTAGCATTTTTCTCAGATTTCGGATTAGACAAGAATGATTGTTCCATAGATTTATAGTTTTGATAATATTGAAATAATGGATTTCATAAAGGCGATTATTTAAAGTTAAAATTGGAACCTCATCATTTTAATGATGTTTTTTAATATTGACAGTCATTTTTGCATTTTACAACAAACATTTCAATATTATTTTTAACTAAAGACTTACTTGCTTGAGATAATGGAAATCCATAATGTTTATCCTTTTTATTTACAGATGATGAAGATTGATGCGTCTTAAAATAAATCTTTTGGTCATCACAATCAATATCATCTTTGTTTATTATTTTTTGACTTACACAATACAAACATAGAGAATATTTGAATTTCATCTAACTTGTCTTCTCGTGTAGCAATTTTACAATTAAAAAATTTTTACAAAATACTTTACAGATTATTAACTTTATAAGTATAATAGGGTATATAGTATTATATATAATATTATAGGTTTCATACTGCTAAACATTTGGTAATAACACCAAAATATCATTAAAGAATAAAAATTTTAAAATGACATTTTGAAGTAAGTCACTCCCTTTCTTGAAACAAATCATCATATTTTTTTTCCTTTCAGCCTTTTTTAACTATAGTAATTCCTTTATAAAAACTTTATTAATCATATCTACTTGATTCAAGTAGAAATACAAACACAACCAAGTTTCAACGAAGGCATACAACTTTAAACTAAAAATACTCCAATATATTTTCAAATTTAATTCTACAAAAAAACAATACAAACACTTGGTTGATTTAAATATATACTAATTTATATAATTTTTACTTAAATAAATCAATTCGCCTAATCGAAGGTCACGCCATTATTTGCGTAAACATACTCTTTTAAATATTGCCGTCCTGTACGTTTAAAAAAAGTTTTTTTATCACGTTAAAAAAACGTTTTAAAAACGTTCATAAGCTAACTGAGAAATTTCGTAAGTTAATAAAAAAAATGAAACGTTTAAAAAACGCTAAAAAAACGTTTAAATTAACATTAAAAAAAACGTTTGCAAAAAAACGTTTTAAAAACGATTGTATTGGTTCTTTTAACGTCCGATCGTAAATTGAACGGAATTAAAACGTTTTAAAAACGTCCTGTGCTTACTGGGTAGTTGTTTAGAAGAATTAAAAAAAAAAAAAATAATTATGTTGAATATAAGGTATATGTAGTAGGTAAAGAAGGTGAATTGTCTTTATGTTCACCAGAAGACTTTTCTGAATTAGAAGGCTATTCTGAATTAGAAAAATATTATGAACTAGATGAAATTAGTATAAAAAACTATTCGAGAATAGAAGATATAAGATTAGAATTAAAAAGATTAGATGACGATTTAAAACTTGTA